CATTATCCTGCCTGCATCTTCAGCCCTCCCACACATACAAAGTTAACAGCTTTGGAAGTAGCTGGAATGAGTCGTTGAGGTCACTGCAAATTCTCATGAGATGAGTAATGGATAAGTGAGGCACAATCAAATATGTTTTTTGCAAATAACTCTTACACATGTGAATCTATTGAGGCATCAGGCACATGACTGCTACAACATCAGATCAAGTGCTCCTCATTTATCAAGCATTCAGGATTTATTCAACAGTTTTGCCCTCAATGGTCTATGAGGAACTCACACATAACTTGTGTCACCAGCTGGACTTGCTGCAGTGTGTGTGTGCCTCTGAGTCCTGTCTGGATCCTCAATTCACCAAGCAATACCCGAACAAATTAGCTTTGATCCTCGACTTCCTCCACACATTCAAAAAAACACGTGTTCAGGGTTTTGTGTCTGCGGCAAGAAGCACCATTTCTCCAAAAAGCAGCACAAACAAAAGTAATCAAAGTCACATACAGGAGGTAATATCAGCCTTTTCATCTTTTTTTTTTGACCTTCAGGATAATATTTGAGAGAGAAAAATGAATAGAAGGCAGTTTTGTCTTTGAGTAAAAAGCAAAGCAAAGGGCTGCAATTTCAGCTATCAGCCTTCACAGATGTCAACCACAGTATGTGATAATGGAAGAGGTTTTCAGTTGAATCCTTGGTGGATTCTATTCTAATGACTAGTTTACATAAAGGCACATGCTTTATGCAGGCCGAGTGATTGACGGTGCTCCTAATTCTATCTGACAAATCTTTTTAAAACAACGTAGTAACTCAGCTTTAATGATGATGTTGGTCAGTCACAATATGGATTCTTTTTATAATGAAGCCTTAAGTAATTAGCATAACAGAAAATGATTCCTCACTGAATGTATGTTGCAAATTTAACGACATGGGTCCTGAGTTACTGTAACTAAAAATTATTTGCAATGCAAAAGGATGTGCAAAGCAGAGTTTACTGTAGCAGACATAGGTTGGTTTGTTCTGGCAGGATAAATGGTTTCACCCTTATTGTTACTGTACTTGTTGATAAGATTTCATTGACTTACACAGTTGTAGTAGGCGTGGTTTAAATGGAAACATGACATAAAAGCTCTGGGAACTGGTCTAGACTGTTTACTTTGGAAAGAATGTAAATGTCCCACCCTGACCTTCAGGGCTCCAGAGAACTCACTTTGGTGGGATGTGTCTATGGTGCAGAACAACTAGTCACATCTTTTTAATGCAAGATCCCGTACAGGATAAGTATATAGTTGAAGTATGGACCAATCTGATGGCTATACGGTGACTTCGACAGTATTCAAACCCTTTCATGTTACACTTTTTTATGTAGTACACTTCATTTGAAATGGGTAAATTTCCATTTTTGCCCATCAACCTACACTCGGTCATGACAAAGGGAAAACATGCATTTGAAAATTTGTGCTACTTTATTAAAACTGAAATTAAAAAAGCAAATAACTTAATCCTATTCCCTCCATTCTACCCAGAAGATGAACTTTGATTTGTAAACCCACTGAGGCTGATTAGCAAAATTGAAAATGCAGAATGTTGTTCATTCCATCACTCTTTTGTTTTGTGAAATGCAATGGACAATGCAGCCTCTAGACACAGGCACCTCTCTTGGCCCTTAAGGCGTTTACTCTTGTTCCATTAGGAGTCGATTTCCAATAAGAGGCCATGGGGAGAGGCCATCTCTCAGACATGGGCCAGTCTATTAGATGTGCCCAGTTGATGGGTGGTCTCTTCAGGTCTACTTCAGCCCCTACGGGTTAGTCAGAGTTGGCTACGTTTTTGCCTTTACAAAGTCTGTAACTGTATAATCCCAGAGCAGCAGTTTCTGCTAACAAACCAAGAGCAAGCAAATAGCTGTTCTCTCTACCTGTCTCAAGAGTGAGTGTGCACAGTCTCTCTCTCTCCTAGACACACAAACAAACACACAAGTATCTCTATGGCAGTGCTGGCATGCTGTCTTGGTTTTGAGGAGCCCTAAAATGTCTTCAAAGAACCATGAAAAACAATGAGTGCTGTTTAGTATTTGCATACTTTTGGCAACAAATGTCATAAAAACCTTTAATTTGAATTTTCATCTGTCATGGATTGGTGACAATTAATTAAACATTGATTTCTGAAGGCTATGGGCTTTTTAACAAGGCATTTATGCAGTTGGTTTCATCATAAGCAGTGCTCACAGACGTATAAGGGAAACAGGGAGTTAAAAAGACCAGCTTTCATCAACTGACATGAATTGGCAAGATACAGTATATCTATACAGGCTCTCACCCCTGTGACATGTCAAAGTAAAGCTGTACATCAGTCTGGACACAGACACCAAGAGGAAACTCAGTTCAAAGCTGTTTCTTTACAGTAACATAAGACTATATTTTTTTTAAAGTTTTTTTACTTCACTCTCATTAATTTAATTTATGTGGTTGGACCATAAAAACAGGGCATTCATCAAACCGCACTGTCCTGATGAAATTATGCTGAAGTAAAGACAGCTCTGTCACAGGAAAGGACAGACTGAAATTTAAGAGTGAACACTAATCAACAAACACTCCCATCCAGTCAAAGAACATAAGGTTCTCCACTTGAAGGTGGCAGCATTATTTCATATTATCGATAGTGCGAATACTTTACAGCCGTGTCAGTTAAGCCAGGGCTATAAAATATAAACACTGGGCCTTATTAAAATTATTGATCTGCTTAGGTTGTCCATGTACCAGCCATATAAAAAAATAACATTACAACCCTTTTAACATTTAAACAAACACTCATTTCAGATCAATAAACTTTCGGTTCCCCATTGCAATCGATCAGAATGTAAACAAAACAAATTCGACTGAGCGCTAAGCACAGGGGGGGAACACTGGTCAAATATCAATGTAAGCAAACACATCTTCTCCACTTTCATATGGGCTGATCTACACTACCGTCACTGACGTGCACTAATGTGAGTTGGCTATCGCAGGATGTAGTTCACCACCCAAACTTAATTAAATATTCATAGCACAATGCCACAACACCCAGTTAACAGTGATTACCTGGGTGTTGTGGTCATTCAGTAGAGACCTATGTTGTAAGGAGGCTTTTATCTTTTCTCACCTGACCTACCACAGTGCACTCTGGGAGAATTAGTGGAGAGCTTTTATGTGTAAAGTAAAGTGTAAAGTACCTATCTACCTACCGTATCCTTTTTTTTTTGTTGCACTCTTGATATTTTGTTTTCCATTTGCTGTATGCTCTTTTCATTTTCCTCATGACTGTCATAATTCTTCTCTTTGCTTTTATTTATTTTTTTATTGCTCCGTCTGAACTGTATGTGTTTCATTGTAAAGCACCCTTGTTAAGGAATATGTAAGTCAAGACTTTTCTTATTTTTAAAGCTTTAAAGCTACTGAAGTTCTAAGCCACTCTTTTTGAATGAAGACGGTGAATTGGGTGCATTTATCATAATACAGCCAACAGTTACTGATACATGCATCCTGTTTCCAAATGTCCTGAAAATAAATAATGGATTGGTATTGGCACCAGTACTGACATCTCCACTTAAGTTAAGAAGGCATGCGGCTACAGTCGCATGTTAAACATAAAGGAATGTTGCTTAATTGTTCCACTTAATGTGAAATATTAGTTTTAATTTTACAAGAAACAAAAACACCTCAGTTGAACATCAGTCGAAAAGAAGTGGGACCAGCGCGTCCTTATGGCAAAGCCCGCTGACAACAGTGCTACAGGATGATCTACATTAACTGCTTGTAGCTTCATGGCCTCATACCATCACCAGTCTGTCCTTGGTTTGACTCTGCCACTCATCAATGGGCTCCATTATTTTTTCTTTCCAAGATAACTTCCCTGCTGTAATTAAGTACCATGACTAAATGTGCCTCCTGGCCAAGAAAAGCACAGTGAAGAGACCGTTTTCAATATCTGAAGTCATTAAATGAAAAGGTTTTTAGTCCTGTCCTGCACTACAAAGAAATTGCTGGCTTTATTGCACATACATAAAAAAAACTTATTTAACTGTTGGAGTCCATGCAAGGACCATGGTGTCCTGGGAATTACATCCATATTTACATCCACTATCAGTGTTCATTGCCAGTGCAGGAGCTGGTGTGTTCTTAATGTAGTGTTTGTCATGATGTGTTTAACTTTCATGCAGGAGACCAGACTAGAACTGAAATGAACACTCATGTTTCTATTGACTGTAACCACAACCTTTCTCTACCATCTGTCTAGTGTTTGTCATGTGTCTGCAGTTGCCGACTGAATTTTTAAAATGTTGCCATTGAACTTAATCTGCAGAATCCCTCACTACTGACATTCTTGTCCAACATGGAAGGATGCATACAGTATGTGCAGCCTTGGGGACGCACGCAAAAAAGCTTGCAGGTATCTCACCTATTTGATCTCCTCACTATCCCTCACTGTCTCTTTAGTGCAACGGCAATTCTACACAGATCCTGCAACACACGCTCCCCCCCACATACAACGCTCCCCCTATTTCATACTATCTCTGCCACACACACACACACACACACACACACACATAATGTCCTTCTTAATCATACACTTCCTGTCTTCTGTTGTTGTATCCAATAAAGAGTGTTCCATCGTTAACCGACCTGATTGCTGCCATAGATAAACGTCACAGTATTGATACAACATGCTAAAGTCTATGGGATTATTCAGCCATGACTTTTTCATATTATATGCATAAAAGTAGTTCTGCTCGGCACTAAGGTGGAGACAAAGCTCTCTGTCTGTATAAATGTACAGACAACATTGATGAGACGCTGATATTTTCGGAACCACTTAACAGCACATTTCAGTCCATAGCTGCCAATTAAAGCTGATATACACACATCACGTAACGCGCCTGTGTAGGAACTACTTCTCAATTTCGAACCATGAATTCAGAAACTGCGACTCAAGGAATTAATAAATGTATAACCTGTAGAAACTGCACATACCCGGCTTCCGTTGCAGAGATTACTGGACAGAAGAAACCAGGCAGTGACAGAAGAATATTACATTCCCTTTTGGATGTCCATTCACGGCACAGCGACGTTCACGCCGGCACTCGTTTACTGTGTCGACGGATGAGGGGACGCGCAAAAGGGGAGCGCGCTTCTTGGCCATAGAGCTCAGAGAGGTGCGTCTGTAAGGAGGAGGTGTGAAGACAAGGAAAGAGTAATAACAGCCCTCCAGTAACCAAGTCTAATATGGAGACAGTCACTTTTTTCCAGGTGTCAGTTGTCAGGCTATAAATCTTCATCAGACAGACGGTGGTATGTAGTGTCTGTGGTTCACTGTGACCTTACTCTAAATCCATATTATTCATGAGGCTTGATTTTGGAACCCAAATGATGGAAAATGGCTAAAGGAAGATAGAAGACATTTTCAGAAACTGTCATGCTTTTTTGATTTCTAATTTAAGCTCATACATATTTTTCATACACCTACTGACAGTATGAAGTTGATAAGTCAAATAGCCTATAAAATGTGCCTATAATGGGCTATGTCAGCCTGGTTGTTATGACTGGTCTTTCAGGTTTATCCTGAAGCACTTTATAAGGCAAATATTTTCACACAGTGTTTCAGTGGACAGAAGAATTAAATAGCTGAAACCTTGAAAAGTCCACTAATGCTAACAAGATTTACTGGCAAAGCCCTGAATGCCTCAATTAAATGTCCCCACATGATTGACATTTTATGCGATTTTACAGCAAGAGTAATGTTAGAAATATGCACCTTGCTCACATTAGCAATTTAGTTCACAGTAACACATTTAACTATTTTACCGAGAAAGTGTGAAATCCCAGCAGCGTTCATGTAGAGGCAATTACATGCTCATTAAAGAGTTGAAATGTATGAATCCACCAGAAAGTCCTTTAATGTACAGCATAACAAGACGGTTGATGTAATTTTGGTATATTAGGGGTTTGGATGATGGTCATAATTAGGGACTTGAAAAGCACTGGTTATAAAATGATTCGTGATCTGGAGTTGGAGGTGTTGTGTTTTCTATCAATCTCTCAACTCACCTCCCTCTGAGAACTGCAGCTCTCTGCTGTTTATTTAGCTGGGTGTTATGTAAATGTGTAGTCACTTTGTTTCCTGTTAAAAAAATACAATGATTGATGTTTAAATTCCCTGGAATAACTGTTAGGCTGTATAGGCTGTAGATTGTTTTTGTAGTGTGCTGTGGAGACAAAATGTGGACAGTCGTGGTGTGTGGGCTGATGTGCACTGAGGACTGACAAGAGAGAAGCCAAAATTATTCTGACAGGCAATAATCGATTCATAGTGAGCTTGATACGTGGATGGTGAACATCCATTTATCCTTGATGAAATCAGATTGTTGTTTTTTTCTAAGATTCTTTGAAGCATGTGGACCTGAAAAAGGAAATGTGGAATTTTCTCATCTTGGGAGACATTGCACTGATTAATATCATTAAAATAATGTCTAGAGGCTGAAAAAGCAAATAAACAATTTATTAAGCTGGACATTTTCTCCAGTATACTTATTTGTCTTGGCTACAAAGATAAAGCAGTGTGATGGCTGCTGCCTACAACAACACTTCAGTGAAGCTCAAGTCCATATCAGTCCCTGGGAACAAAACGCCTGCTGCTATATGACACATAACCCCAATGTAGTCAAGTATTGACAGGGTAAAAGATTATACCGGGATATGGAGCGACTCTTCGACAAATGTTAAATTTCCTTAGAGATAAGTCTGAATATGAAACTGCAGTGTGTGAGTGGCTCGGTGAGGGCTTGGGTTATAAATTCAAAACAAACATGCCAGACGTTAGAGAACAGTCTAATTTTACATTGACAATGACTGTCTCTGAAAACAAGTGCCAGCAGCTCCTCTAGTATTCCAGTAGTGCACCAGTTTCCAACAAACCAAAAACAAAGATGGGAGTCTTCCTTCCTGAGAGACATGTGCTACAGTTGCTCTTAGGCCCCTTGTCTAGTAGCTGTACAGTGGGTGGGAAGAGCTTCTATGTTTCCTGGAAGAATTGTGCTTGAGTAACTTTGGGCAGTCACAACCAGGGAGTTTACCTTTTTTCTTTATGAAATGCTGAGAGTGAATTAAATCATTCTTGTAGCCTCAAAAAAAGAGAAACCTACAGTAAATGATCATGTGGGAAAATCTATGTGTAACATATTGCACCACTATGTGCATGCAAATAGTGTTTTGTAAACATTTATAATGCAGCATTATATGGTTTTGTAGTAAATGCTTACGCTCACTAATAGAACATGTTTATAACTCTGCAGCCTCAACTAGAGAATTAGAAAACTTAAACTTAAGCATATGGATCCTGTGGTTGAAGTGAATTGAAATTCTTTATGATTTACAGTCCCTGCAGGAAATAATTTCTCAAATATGTTTTGGGTTTTTTTTCTAAAATTCTTCTGAAATCTTATCTGGGAAGTTTTGGGAAGGCAGGTGCAGTTAAATAACTTCACCAGAATGAATGATGAAGAGAAGGTTATTGCAAACAGGTAGGGTGGTAAAAACAAGCCAGCAGCTTAAACGGTATGTAAGGCACAACCCAAAAACATGACAGGCAGAGAATAGGTGGGACTTGTCCATTTAAATAGTGGGAGATCTGATACAGTAACAGGGAATGGGTGTGGAGCTGGTGAGGAAGGCCAGGTGACTTGGAATGAAGGGAATGTTTGAGAGCATCTGTTGGCTGGATGCAAGAAGACAGAGGCAGGAAGGCTAAACTGATGGGATGGCACCGCAGACATTAGAGGAATATAGTGGCTCTATTGGACAAACCCCCATTATAATAATGAGGAAAGACTTGAATTTAAATACTTAAGGTTGGACAAAATGTAAATACAGGATGAGCCATGGTCATAATGATTTCCCAGTATATTATTTAGCAGACATTGTTAGATAATATTCACTGAAGATACTGAAATCTAAAATCACAGTTCAGTGTGTAGTCAAGCAGTTTATTTTAAATGCAATAATAGCTAACAAAATGAGCAAACACAGAGCGATGTAAACATACCAGCATGCGTCCGTACTTTCTCCTCTGGGGTCGTGAGCATGCAGCTGTCAAATGTTACCAATAAAATGCCTCATGAACTGACTGAGTGATCACTGACCTTCTTGTCACCTCTAAAACTGTAGTTCCCGCCCTCACTGCTGAGATAGCCATTACCTTGAATCTCCAGACTGCTTCTAATCATCATCATCATCATCATCATCTTTATTGTTTCATTGTTTTGAAATACTTAACATTTCATACCTCATACGAAGACTAAGGTTTCATTTGCACTCTGTTCCAAAATTCATAATTAGGATCCCATGGCAGGGGAATTACAGTCCACCTTGTTGTTGCTAATTAGCAGTTTTTTCCTTATCTCATCACTTTTGAAATTAACCAACAAAATTAATGAACTATAGACTATTGAATCATGCATGTGTGCTTATCACAAGCCTGCATGCTGCAGACTCTGCCATGCTTATTTACAAATAGATGTTGCAGGTTCAACATGATTCATCTGTGACTCATTAAAGTTCAATCATAAATTAGTGAAACACTTGGTCCAACACTTATCACTGACTTCAATCAATGTGATGTAATGTGATGAGTAGCCATGCTTTTCCTTCAGACAAGCATACACTGCAGTATGGTAGAAAGGAGTAGTTATTTGCTTTGAGAGACAACACTTCCATTTATTTGAAGTTTGCAACAGTAAAATAAAAACCCAGGATTTGCTTGTCTACTCCTACCACTGATCATCCCATTGTACTCGCTCCTCTATGTTGTCATGCGAGTTATGTAACAAGGTCAGCAGATTTACCACACAAACTCTGCAGGTATTCTGCAAGACTATAGAACTGAACTGTCTGCTTTTCATTTAACTAACAGAATGTCTAAACATCTAGAACAATAATGCGAGGTTCCGTCAGTATGGCTTGCTCACTGACAGTCTTATGTTTTATTCAGTGGTGCTTTTGTGGCCACAGAATGTGTTTGTCTTACTGCAGAGATTTGAAACAGTGAGGGACAAAACCAGAGGAATTGTCTGTTTGCACATGTTTTGGAGCTATTCAGGACGTTATGAACGTTTTGGGTGATTAAGCTGGAATTTTAAAATGAGTGACAGCAACCCCCCCCCCTAACTGTTTTGTACCTGAGAAAAAAAAAAAAAAAACGGTCTTATCTTTTTTAGTTTTGTTTCTTTTTAACCTTTATTTAACCAGGTAAAATCCCATCCTGTTTCTGAGGCAGAGCTCGCATCACAGTCTCAGGCAGGACAACCCGACATAAAAACACAAATATATGACAAGAGCTTCAGGCAACATGCACAAAGACTTGCAATAAGCTAAGAACAGAGCTGTTTATAAATATAGCTGTCAGTGTTAAAAAGCTGAATGTGATGAATAATTCACCCACACTGGTCTTGAATTCAGTCTGTAAAACCAAGTTCATTTATTTAAGTTTCCTGCAAACTCTACCAAGTTGCTAATACATATATATATACACACACACACATATATATATATATATGTACCAACGACTCAAAGGGCGGAGAGGGAAGACCAGCCAACTCTGGAGCAAGCACAGCTCACAATGATGGGTTATTGATTTTAAGTTTAAGAACAAATCTTTAATCCCCTGTTCAACCTATGGAGACATTGTGCTGGTGTTCATCTCTACAGTTAGTCCGACTTAGTTTCATCAGAGGGTTTTCAGTGTGTTCATTCATCAAGCCACAGCAAGATGCAATTTTCTTCCTTGAGTTGTCACAATATTGACAGTTTTTGTTTTAAAGAAAATAATTAATTAGTCTGTTAACAGTGGTGTGTAAGAAAAGTTGATTTCCACACCTTAGGAATCTCATTTGTAACTCGAGTAAGACTGAAACTATGTGTGAAAGGAAAAGCAATGAGCTCTGCGACAACCTTGTTGTTCGGATCGGCAGGTTTCCTTACGTCCAAACTCATTAGGCTTCATGCACCACGGTGAAGGAGGTTGGCTAAAATCAAAAACTTTCCTCAGCTGTTACATAGTCAGTGACATCTGACACATATATATTTAGAGAGCTGGTGCCAGAATCAAAAAAGACTGGAAGAGGCAACAAAATGTGAAACAATCCAACGCATTG